AGTTCCTGCTGCTAGTCCCCCCCCCCAACACACACACACACACACACACACAAACAAGCTGGAGCTGGCACACAGTTTTTGCTGTGTTTACTCTGACCTACATAGCCAGTCATTGGTAGCTCCTGTCTGGGAGGAATGCTGACACTAATGTGAATTTACACCTCAATGACTTTGACACAGACAGAAAGAGATAGTAAGGAAGAGGGAGACCAGAGAGACTGCATAAGGTATTAACTGTGAGGAAAAAAGCAGTTGGGGACAAGAATAGCCGGACACTAAAGGAAAGAAGCAAAGATAGCAGGAATTAAAATGAAAAAGAGTTGCCTAATGATGGCGGCGTGTGACATTTCAGGGGAGTGTTTGAGGATATTGAGCTGTCTGACACGGGCCATTTCCCTCTACGCCCTAGTTGGTCCCCATTGCAGTGTGGCATTAGGAGGCATGGGTGTTCACTTCCCTGCTCACTTCTCTGCAGGCTGAAACAGCTGTTCGGGTGTTTAAAGTGCTAGGATGATATAGTACAAATTTTGTCATCAAGGAAGTGCCACTTTTTAGAGGTTCGTTATACTGTCGCTGAGCCAGCGTGGTAATGTGTTATACTACAGGATGGACTGACTGACAGAACTTACTAGTCTAATGTTCACAACCAGCATTGATATGTACAATAGTGGTTTGTCTGGGACATTAGTTTTCTCTTTCATGAGTAAATTTGTTTATACTTTCTAAAAAAAACAGCCTGTGGTCATAACCTCCATAGATCTTGCTATTACATCAACAGTGTTTGTTTAGGCAATCAAGCTACGGTTCACTCAATCAAAAGTAACATTGCACAAGATTCAGCGTAATCAAACATAATGGATATTAACATGATTAACATGTGCTGTAAAAGTATTCAAACATGTGCAACAAAGGTTTTCAAACATGATTATATGTGTAGTATGTGCAATTTCCCTCATAGAACCAATTGTTTTGCTTCGGGCGTCTTGACCATGCATGATTCAGTGGTGGTTGTTGTTGTAAGATGCAAAGATTAGGTCCCATTTTTGTTGGTGAAGAAGGACTGCGGCTTTTCCTTTTTTCTCAAAAGGTTTGAGATCTAGGAATACCATCCCTGAGTCATCATGGAGTTGTCATCTGGCCACATGCTTTCGCAGTGGCAGCTCCAATTTTAAACTTGTCACCAATTACTGAGCTCTCAGACTAGTGTTTTCAGATCAGAGCTAATAGTAGTCCTACGAAATAACTGGGTTGGAAAAGTGAGTGAGAAGTGAGAAGAAGTCAGGGGGGGAAGCAGAAGGTGAAAAGGAGAAAGTGAGAAGGAAATGGCAAATGAGACAGATATGCAGAGGGAGATGGCAGAAGATGGCAGCCATGAAAAACTCTAAGTGGCCGTTTACTTCTGCCTCGGGGCTTCAAATGCACATTTTTTCTTTGATAGAATTAGTTTATACAAAAAACTCTATGTGCATGCTAACACTATGTATTTTCCGTTTTTGGGTTATTTATATCTATATATTAGCTTATTTCCCTGCGATGGACTGGCGACCTGTCCAGGGTGTACCCCTCCTTTCGCCCAATGTAAATTGGGATTGGCTCCAGCCCCCCACGACCCTGTACACAGGATAAGCGGTTGACGATGGATAGATGGATGGATAGACGATGGATAGATGGATGGATTAGCTTATGTATATATTAGCTTTCAGTACGCTACTGGTGATAGATACATGCAAAGAAATATTTTACAGTGTCATTGATAACCCTTCATATGCTGCCATAATTCAGTTGTGGATTGGCATCTGTAATCTAACAAATTTCCCTCTGGGATCAATATCAAGTATAACTGATTCTGATTATAATTATATATTACTGATTGGCCTACATATAAATATATAGTATTTATCAACTATTTACTCTACCTTTAGTTTGTTCCCACAAATCTAAATTATCCAATTGCCATGAACAACGGCATTTACCTTAATTCAAGACTGAATAAATGTAATTTCAAAATATTAGAGTCTCATCTGAACCTGAACTCGTAAAAGCATCCTCAAAGGCACCTGTGTATTGTTACAACTGAATACCCTCAGATTGATAACACTGTTATTCGGCCATTTTCTGAAGCTGTGGAACTGCATGTACAAAATTGTTGCAGAACAGCTTTAGTAAAGTTGATTTTACACATGTCGTTTAGTCTGTGAAGACAGTTGTATAATGTCTTCTGTGGCTTTGAGTTTGAGAAAATAACCCTCTGCATGTCATTAGGACAGTTAAATATAAAACAAAGAGCCAGTGTTACAAATTGAGATTGAAAGAGATGTGTGTTTACCAGGCAGGGAGGATCTAATGAAAGAATCTATCAAGTTGCGTTATGCTTCAAGAAATCCAAGGGTTTTGAGGGCGTGACTCATATGGGATTAAAAAGGCAGGATATCTCTGACTCTGCTGATTCAAATGTATACCATTCTGTTCCTCAAGCCCCCAAGCTTTATGGAAGTCCAATATTAAATTGCAGTAGTGCCCCTTCAAGTTGCACAATTCATCTAACAAAAAGGTGCTGTTTGTCTTCTGTGCTACGTGCAGTGTAGGATGCTCGCGTAAACCCCAAGGCTGCTCATTACAGTTTTTATCATCAGTGAATGAAACCAACCACGGCAGCCGCATACAGTACTGAGAAATGCTTTCAAAAAAAACCCACTAAAGCATGGCCTGATGCACACTGTATCTGCTCCACAGCACACACATTCCTCAAAGGGATCCGAAAACAAGAAGCAGATATCCACGTAGCACCCTATAACAGTGTTGGTCATGAGGGCGGTGTTGTGTGCTGTGGTGTTCAACTACACTTTGTTTTCATGTATGGAGGTTTATAGGAGCAGAGGTTGGTAAGTGTGTGCATTTGCATGTTAGTGTGTGTTTAGTGAGGAGAGTAGCCATTAATAGCTAGCAGTCTGATCCACAACTGTCATGTAGCGTTAGGCCTAATGGGAGAGAAACGTCTGCAGCTATGCCCATGCACATGCGCACACACAAAAACTCACTGGCAGACTGTTCAAGCCACAAGCACAGGTACACAAATAAACACAGATGCACACAGATACTCAGGCAAGCACACAAAGATATTATAGAGCAAATATGTTCACAATTATATGTAAACAAAGATTAATGTACACAAAGAATCTATTTTACTTCACACATACATACACAAACATCCATGTACTGTACGTACTGCAGTGAATCAGCGGAGCTCTACTTGCCAGAGGCTTGCATTCAATTCAAAGCAAAAAAAAAAAAACGGGGTTAGAGCAGGGAATGTCAGGCACAGGTCATGCTTGTCTATTTCCATCATTCGCAACCTGGCAGAAGGAGAGAGCACTTTATCTATTAATCAGCCTCGTGCAAATAGCAAAGCAAACACACATCTCTGTAAAGCTGAAGATCTAGACTCCACATGCTGGTTCAGAGCGCGAAGGTCGCTGTGCCTGAAACTGTAAATGTCCGCTGGTGTTGTTGAAGACAGGCGATGGGTGGCAAGGGCAGCGAGTCAGAGCAGCATCACATTAGAGCCGCACTCTGCAGGATCGCCTGAAACTGGTCTAAACAGTCGCTTTTTTCTGAACTCTAATTGTCCTCTCTGCCTTTTTTTCTTTCCTCCTTTTCTCTTTCTTTTTGCCTGATTCTCACTAACTCTGAGCCTGACTCTTCCACCCTCAGCTGACTTTTAAGTCTCTCTCTTTTGTTCTTTACTTTCTCCACGGCAAGCATTTATGGCTGAGACAAAAACAGCTTGTGACACTGTAACAATAACATACAAATACAGCAGTAAATAATACACCACTAAATTTTATTACTGGGAAAATGAAGTCTCTTTATGTCTCGCTGACTTGATCTGTTCTCTTCTAGCTTTAGTCTACAGCCAAGCAAGTGCCTCTGTTAGGCTGGTCTTATACTTGATTTTTAGGTAGGTAATACTGGTCACCATCTTAGTTTAGTGTGTTAGTATGCTAACATTTGCTAATTAGCACTAAACAGAAAATACAGCTACCGCTGAAAGGAATGTTGTTACTTTTGCTGGTATTTTGTCATAAACTAAAGTACTCTACCAATGGTGGTGGTGATGGGGCAGTGGATAAGACGCATGGCTGGCATGGTTGCTCCAGTTGTTGCTCCAGAGGCGTGCGACCTCTGACATATATATATAGCAATTGTAAGTCGCTTTGGATAAAATGAATAAATATAAATGTAAAATATTGCCGAATAATGGCGCTAGATATCATGTTGAGATTGCCAAAGTTAATACAGTTTATCTTGTGGGGAATAGGAATGTCTGTACCAAATGTCACGTCGAGATATTTCCCTGTTAACCAAATGTTTTTGACCCTCTGGTGGCTCCAGCTATATTTCTAAGTTGATAAAAACATGATTGAACAAGCTTTGTGGTGTGCTGCTTGAAATTTAAATTACTATCAAACCAAACACCAAGGTTCTTTGCTACAGGCTTAATGTGATTTACTAGCGAACCAGCAGATGGCAGTATTTGATTTGCCATCTGCTGGGACCCGATGACCAGGATTTCTGTTTTGTCTGAGTTCAGTTGGAGGAAATTATTTGACATCCATTTTTTAACTTCACAAAGGCAGTTGTTAAGTGAACTCAGCATTCCAGGGTCTGTGGATCTGACGGGCAAGTATATTTGTGTGTCATCAGCATAAATATGAAAAGAAATGCCATGTTTATGGATAATATGTCCAAGGGGAAGTAGATACAAGGAAAACAAAATGGGTCCTAAGACTGACCCCTGAGGCACACCATATTTAACTGGACAGAACGAAGAGACATAGTTGTTTACAGACATGCAAAACTATTTGACAGGTAGGATGAAAACCATTCTAGGGCAGTACCAGAGATCCCCACCCAGTGCCTCAGTCTGTCTAACATGATGTTGTGATCAATGGTGTCAAAAGCAGCGCTAAGGTCCAGGAGTACAAGGACTGAGCACATACCTTCATCAGCAGACATTAAAAGGTCATTGGTGACTTTAAGCAGGGCAGTCTCAGTGCTGTGGTACTTCCTGAAACCAGATTGAAACTTGTTATTTTTCAGTACAGTGAGCAGCTGTTTGGACACAATTCTTTCTAGAAACTTTGCAATAAAAGGCAGTTTTGAAATTGGTCTAAAATTATGTGGGAGGGAGGGATCTAAACCAGGTTTCTTTAAAAGTGGGTTCACGCAGGCCGTTTAAAAATAATCAGGGACACAACCAGTAGATAGGGAGCTGTTGAAAACCGAGATCAAATGGGGCCCAACAGAATCTATTACTTTCACCAAAAACTTTGTAGGTATTACATCAAGTGGGCTGGAGGACACTCTCATTTGTGATACTATTTTTAAAAGCTCAGACAAGTCGATGGGATAAAACTGGTTAAAACTCTCTTGTTGCTGGTGAGGAACCTCTGAGTAAGAGGCCGTGGGGGTAATAGAGGCTCTGATTGACGCCACCTTATTGGTAAAATAAGATAAAAACAATTCAGTCATCATTACTTCCAGAGGGGTTGGGTTTACCAGCTGATCCACAGTCTTAAACAGAAACCTGGGATTGTGTTTATGAGTAGTAATGAGTTCAGAAAAATAGTGTGTTCTCGCATCCTTAACCATGTTATTGTAGTTAATTAATAAATTCTTCAGACTGAGGTAATGGACTTGGAGACTGGATTTTTTCCATCTGCGCTCTGCTTTCTTGCATTCCCTTTTGAGGCTGCGAATACTGTCATTTATCAAGGGTGCTTACTACCTTTAGACGTAGGCCTAACCTTTAGAGGAGCAGTAATATTTAGTGACGACAAGCAGATATGATTGAAGTGATCGACCAGATTGTTGGTGTTGGCTTTGGCTCTGAAAGAATGCGCTTTGTTCATTAAAGATGCAAGAACACACGGAGCTTGGTGAGGCGGCATGAGTAACAGGCGAATCGCAGCTAAAAACAATACATCTGTGGTCAGATATGGTCATGTCCACTAATTCCACAGAGGAAATGCTGACACCCAGGGTAAAAACCGAGTCCAGTGTATGACCACGGTTATGGGTTTGCCCTTTGACATGTTGTTGTTGAGAAGTTAAAAGAAGTGGCCATATTTAAAAAGTCAGTTGCATTAACATTGGTGGGGTCATCAACATGAATATTAAAATCGCCACAAAGAACAATTCTGTCATAATTTAAAACCAGAGTAGATAAAAATTCAGGAAGTTCTGATAAAAATCCTCCAGGCAGTTTTGGGGGGCTATAAATTATAACAAATATGATAGGTTGTAGCCCTCCAACTTTAAGAGTGAGAACTTCAAAGGAGTTAAATTCATTAAAGCGTACTTGATGACATTTTAAATATTTCCTATATACGCTCACTAGCCCACCACCACGACCACTGACCCTCGGTTGACTAAAGCAATCATATTGAGGCGGACACAGTTCAGCTAGCTGGCTATAGTCATTCATTTGCAACCAGGATTCAGTTAAAAACATAAAATCTAGATTTGCAGACAAGATAAAATCATTTAAGATAAAAGTCTTACTTGACAGAGATCTCACATTGAACAGAGCCATTTTAAATGAGTTTGTTTGTGCTGGAGTTGGTGCAGTTGTCCTAATCCTTAAGAGATTACTAATATTTCTGTGTGGGATGTGCACATTTCGGTTTACTGGTCTATGCGTGATGATGACAGGAATAGAAGTCTTTGGAACAGCGCTGGGAGCAGACGGCTTTACATGCCAGCAGGTGGAGACAGTTGTTTGTGGCAGTGAGGCAGAGATCTGTTCAGTGAGCGGTGGTGTGTCCAGGTGTGCTGCATGAATGATTAGTCATTCACGTAAGTCATGTGTGGACCGCACCACATGCTGTATGTGAGCAGCTAACATTTCTGAGCCCCGTTTGTTTGGGTGAACTCCATGTGTCTTAAAAAGTTAAATATCAAAAACATTAAAATTATCCACATAACACACACGGTGAGCCCTGCAGGCGGACTGGAGCCAATCGTGGAGGCCAAGGAGTCTACTGAAGCGGCCAGCACCGCGACCAACTGTGGGAATGGGACCAGCGATAAAAACAGACTTTCCACACTGCTTTAAAAAGTTTAAAAGACAGTTAAAATCTGATTTTGTCATTTGTTCCGACATGGACTATCACTCTTGTGATGGAGGACGGGAGCGATGGCATTAGGTCCTGGAGTTTTTTTAAAATGTCAGCCGTGGTGGCACCGGGGAAGCAGTGAGTGGTAGTGTTAAAGAAACGGATGTTTCTGGTTATGGAGTCACCAATTATTAGTGTGTTTGGGGAGAAAAGGGGACGAGGAGATGCCGGTTGTGTGGTTCCAGAGCAGGACTGAGCAGAATCTGCTTCAACACTGCGTGCGGACTGAGGATGGAGTGTGTGAGCTGCCAAGTGTTGTGTTGGAGTAGCAGTAACATACCTGAGAGAAGGGCTACCCGACGGTGCAGGGTAGAGACGGCCTCCGGAGCGTCTGAGCACAGCCTCCTTCAGGATCCTACGTCGGGAAGCGGAGGTTTTTGACCGGGATGACGGCCGCCGATCGGGCCCAGTGGCAGACCGGCGGCCCAGCGCGGGAGATGTAGCCGGTGAAGGAGATGCAACAGTGTCGGCAGGCACTGTCCGCCGAAAGAGATCCGTATCAGGGAGACTCGAAGCCGCAGGTGCATCCGTTGGTTGGACCGGAGTGTCGTCAGACAAGGCTGCATAGCGGTTGGAGAGGCCGATGTGCGGAGGAGAAGCAGCCCCATCCGAGCCTCTGTTGCAGCCACGGACCACCACTTCAGCCCAGGTTGACTGATGCTTTGGAGTCGAGCAGGAGGAAAGCCTGGGAAGGCTAGAGGGGTCCCAAAACACGGTGTCCTGGATGTTAGCGGTTGCGCTAAGAGAAACAACTTCTTTGGCTTGTACTGAAGCCACATCCATAAAGCCAGTCAGCAGGGAATCTTTCTCTTTGAGTTCCTCTGAAAGTCGTCGGATGTCTTCCATAAGGTCAGCAATCTTCTTGTTCGCTTTCTTAAGGAGTGAGCAGTCCTCATGGGGCAGAGTTATCTCGGCTAGCATAGTCACCGGAGCTTTGTTGTGGTCAGTAGCGTTGATCATCTAGCTTAAAATCCATGTCGGATGACTAAAATCCTTAACCCACGTAAAACTCAAGTTAAAAACTTAAGTTAAATAAAAAGGATATAAAAAATGTAACGAAAAGGAGTGGATTAAAACTGGATGGGAGTCCGGTTTAAGACGGAGCTTCCGACAGGTAGCTACAGACGCCAACGCATGCACAGAGTGCAGATTACGTCAGCGATCTTGTAAAAAAGTAGCAATTATAGATACCGCTAACATACTGGATACTGTATCTCATCCTGAGTGAAAACCATTGTAGCTTTTTGTGACAGAGTACTAAAATTCCTTTACATTAATTTAATAATTTTATGGTGTCATAGCATTAGAAAGGAAAATGTGTCTCATCCCATTGTTTTTCACGCCATTTGACGCTCTTCCTCAGATACTCCTTCCCCAGTCTGTCTTTCTCTCTCTTTCCGCCCTTTCTATCTCTCTTCCCCTCTTTTTTCATTCCCATGACACAAACTGACATGAGGCTGCAGATCTCCTTGCTACATTGACCTCATGCGTCTACATGCTTTCCATGCTTAAATCCCTTATCGCACATGATTTTGCAAAAGAGACTGTGAGGTCAATTCTCAGTGACACAACCCAAAATATATGCCACATCTTAATGACACGCTGTCCAGCACCGGCCTAGTCCACCATGTCATGGTGAAACTGTTTCCTCTTAGCAAATCAGTAGAGTTTTAAACAACTGGACTCTCCTGATTAAAGATGTGGCATGTCTGAATTGCTCAAAGTTGTTGTTTTAGCACATCATGTTGAATTGTATTGGATATTTTTGTTTCGGGGTGAGTAGAGAGATTCAGAGCGGGTAAGTATATTTGTTTTTCCCAGTACGATTGTTCTGCTTTCATTTTGCAAAGATAAGGAATTATCTCTTCTCATACATATTGAAATATTTCATTATAGTTATAACGATGGCAGTGCAAGTCTCATGTGAAAACAAATCTTCAGAGTGCATAACTGAATTCATTAAGAGCTGTCAGGTCAGGCTAGAGGTCAGAATGATTCCTGCAGGAAGTAGGATTTGAGCAGGAAAGCTCAGGGATTTCATCTAGAGGTTTCACTCACCATGGAGTCTATGACCCTCAAGCTAATTAAAAACATCGAAGCAAACAAGGGAAGCGGGGTTTTCCCTACTGCATCTTCCTGTCTTCTTAAGAAAAGCCAAGGATTAAGGATTAGCACTTCTCTCCTTCTTGAGGCACCATGTTCGCTTTCATACAAAGAACGTGGAGAATAAAACGCATTTTCTCATGCATGTGTTTGTCACTTTCACATTGTGCCGTCACTCTGGGTTATAGTCCCATTCATATTCAGTTTCATGACGATGACCTCAAGGAGTTTATACACATTCACCAATGGAAGAATACTTGAGCTGTATGTTGAACAGATATGCACGGTTGTCATGACGTTCACGTTTTGTAAGGGTCGAGCAAAACAATGAAACAATGTCACGAATAACTGCTTTTTAAAATCATAATTTATTGGCTTTTTAATGAAATCAGTGAACAGTATGTGTTTGGGTGTATTACTCAAGGACTCACCGTATGTATGTAATGTATTATTTGAGATATTTCAGCCTCTGCAGTTGAAATCTAGAAAAGAGCGTAATGTACCGTAATTTGTAGTAACAACTAATACAGAAACAAATAATCTATTTATAAGAGTTATTTGAGTGAAGTAATTAATTCAAATTGCACTAGTAAATTTATAGGGGTTTTGGGCTCCAAACTGCATCAGCAAGAGTGGGGTACGCTCACAGGGACAGGGCTTATATGCTCTGATGTGGGAGTGAATTGTTGAAATGGAGGTTTAATATACATTAGCAACTAATGTGTTAAAACTGAGCTGTAAATGTTTTATGAAGTTCTAAGGAAGCACTGAAGATCTAACAGTATCTCCGTCATTGTCTTGTTTTCAGTGGTATTAATGCTGTGTTATTAAATCTGTAGGTGAAACCAATGTGACATTTGAACAAGCACATTTTGAACAAGTACTATCTGAGTAGCTCAGGGAGGCGTCCCATCGGCCCCTGTGAACGGGCATTGCACTAGTTAATTATATAATAAGATCTTAATTTTTGAAGAAAAGAAAGACATGAAGCATTAACACAAGAGCCCAGGTAGGAATGCACCAAAGCAAGAAGAAAATAGTGTAAAGTCCACAGTATGATTGTATGAGCAGGTCCACGGTACAATAAAGAAATAAAATCCTTTTTAATCAACAAAGCTGTAAATAGATTCAGTGATTACACAAATAGGTATTGCAGTACATTACCAGTTGTTGGATCGTAGCTGTCACCAATGTCGGTGATGTCTCTGTGAAATGGCCCAATGTGCATTTGATTATCTTCCAGTGCTGGTGAGAAGGCCACTTTATCTGTCAACAGTTATCTGTCAAAAACCACACTATTGAAAATGCTTAAAGTTTTTTTTTCTAAAACTACAGTAACCCACAGAACTTTCTGTGTATGAATGCAGCTGTCCTATTGACTTAAAAAAACAAAAAAGAGCCTCCCATCTCCATAGTTTATCCTTTAAGTCAAACTTCATCCTTCCCATGTTGTGTATGATATTGATGTATTAACTTGTTTACCTTCAGTCTTGAATGTTTTCACCTCTTATCTTATTCTTAAGTTCCTCTTGTACAGTTTGATTTGTTTGCAGTTTGGCTTCCAACTCTATAAAAAAAAAAATGCATTAAACATTTCTGTAATGTGATAAGCACGACATCAAATCTTAATAATGAATTTTTTAATTAAATGAGTATAATATTTTTAGAAATTATACAGATAATACAAAATATGTATTAATAACTTTAAAACCCTACATTGATGTCTACACATAAAGGGAACAGAAATATTAGCAAATTTGACACATTACTATAAACCTTTAAAGCCAATTTAATGATTTATTATATCAAACCAATACAGATATTGATACACTTTACATGGATAGGGATGAAAAAATATACATTGTGGATTAAGAGTAAACTATGGTAGTGTATGTGTTTAAATAAAAGATAACTGTTCATAAAATGTTATGTACTTGTTATGTTTCAGTAACTTCAAGGTGTGTGTTCATGTCTTTGTCCATGCCCACTCTGGCTTCCACTCTGGACTTAAGCCCTAGGGAAATATAAGAGAAAAACAAACTGAATTAAATTCGCCATTATATCTAATTTAAATCAAAGAAGAGATCAGATGGTATGTAGTGTTTCAATCACCTCTAATTACCTAATTACTCCTTCATAATCAAATGTAATTTTTAACACCAAAGGCCTGCATTGATGATCTGTGTTGAGAGCTTTCACCTCCGTTTCATTTCTGCAGTAGTCTCAATCTTCAGCTCCTCACTCAGGCTCTCAGTGACTCCCAGTCTGGCTGAGTAAAACCTATTAAGCCATCAATTAGACAGATGAGGATTATCTTGATGAGCAAAGTGTGGGTAATGTACATAATCAGTGCTACAGGCATTCCTTTATTCTCTTTGCCTTGATCAGTTGTATTGAGTGCCTGCACTTGTCTCAGTGTATCTTCAAAGCTGATCTTCAGCTTCCCAGTCAGACTCTCATTAGCTGACAATCTGGATTTCAGCCCTTTGGTTGAAGATGGAATAAAAACAATGCAAAATCAACTGAGTCCCCTTCAGTTAATGGAGAGATTCGATGATATAACAACACTTGACCTCTATCACAAGATTGTCACTAATCATGCACATACTGGGAAAATCGTGGAATTTCATTCCTTGAGGAAGTTAGGGAATATCAGGAAATTTTTCATTTCATAATTTTCATTTAGTTATTGCATTAGATAGTAAAGTTTCAGCCCAACTAGAGTGGAAACGAGTCTGTCAATCCCTTTGAGACAACGAATGAAAAAGGGGTGAAAATGCTCATGAAAAGGTCATAGAAATTAAATTGAAATTATCAACCATACAGATAATACTCTAAAAACAAAGTACTGATCTTATTCCTCAATAATGTTGGTAGGTAATATATTTTATTTATTATTATAAAATATATTTACATTCCCATGAAATGCAAAATGTAAAGAATGCAATTTATTTACAGATTACAGTCAAGTTACTGGGCCCTTCCAAAGCATGATTCTCTATTCAGTCAAATATAAATCATGAGGTGAAATTAGATGAGCTGAGCTGAGACTAATTTACTGCATTAATAATTTACTTGTTTGTTGTATTACCTTTACTTTCCTTCTGTAGTTGCTCCACTTTCGAGGTTTTGGCCCTCCAAATAGTAGTAGTTAATTTACGTTGATCAGCAGCATGCAGTACCTTCACTTCTCCACCCACGTCTACAAGCTTATTTCCGAGTTCTGCCAGTGAGGCTTTCAACTCTATTTGTTAAAAATGAGGGAATACATACTGCATGACTTCAACCATTCAGTCAAAGATAAATCATGCGGGGACATCATGTGAGCTGAGATGAGGAGGAAATCTACTTTGCTGGTCATTAATAATTGACTTGTTTGTTCTATTACCTTTACTTTCCCTCTGTCACTCGTTTGATTTGGCCCTCCAAATCACAGGCATTGTGAGATTGAAAGGTAGCAGTTAGAATTTTTAAATCAAGCATAGCGTTAGTTCAGGCAGGCAACGGAGTCAAGCTCAGCTCACAATCCCAGCGTATCACCTGATAGTATTCCACGTCAAGTCAGGCTACATCAGCTGACAGCTTAGCTGGTTTCCCTCTAAGCACTCATTGGCAAAGCCATACACAAGGCGCCTTATTTCAGCTGCCCTAGCCTGCCTAATCTTGCTGCTTTCTCTGTGAGCCCCTCATTTCCCTCCGCCACCACAGCTCCTCATGTAAGTCTATTCCTGTCCAATCAATGTATTCTGTATTAATGATGCTGCTCTGTTCTGTACCCGGGGTGGGGTTCTTTGCTGCTGCTCTCTCTCTCTGCCGTATGGCTTTTCCACGTAGGCATGTGAAACGGGAGCTGCTCTCTCCGCCTTATGGCTCTCCACGTAGGCACGTGGAGAGGCAGGGTGGTCCACGCCACCAAAAATAACTACTGCATAAATAAAGTATTTGATAAAGTTAGAACGGTTGCAGCAATTGTGGAAAAAATGAGTAATGTCAACTTTACTTGCTATATTTCAAAAATGGAAATATCATCTTGCTTCTTTATTTTGTCAAGTGATTTCAGTTTGATTAGAAGTATTTTTTAAAAGGACCTCAGCTTACCTGTGTACCTGCCGCACAACTTGCTGCACCTGCTTTCTCTGCTCTTAGTCCCTGCACCTCACTGATTCTCAGCCTGGCCTCGTAAATAAACAAAAAAGAAGACTTGCGGCACATTTCAACCACTACCACCTCCCGAAGATACCCTGTCCTTTGACCTAGTTGCTTTTTGGTCTGTCGCAGCTCATTTCTCTGTTCATCCAAAACAGCCATCATCTCTCTGTGCAGAGTGAAGCTATCTTCCTCAACAGGCTCATCCTGAATATATATGATAGCAGTGAACAGGACGTATGCCTCAGACAGGCAGCAGCCAAGCAGGGCGAGTAAAACAACCCTCACCTTTGTGGTCTGTAGAGCTGTGACTCCTGGGGGTTTGCAAGACGCCCGTCTAAGAATTAGGTGAATGTGTGAAAGGTTGAGCAAGGTCTGCATATTGCTTAGATGTAGACCATCTGAAGTTCATGTAACATGTCCACCAGGGTCCACTAGGGAGAAGGATAGAGGTATTGTGATAAGAGGCTCTCAATTCCAAATGAAAGCTGTTGTTATTGAATGCTAACAAAGTATCGACTGCTCTGCTCACAAGTTCAGTAGGACTGTAGATTCCCATTTAGCTTAGCATTTAGAGTATGAAGGGGGGGCACAGTGGTCCAGTGAAATTGCACTGTGGCCTCACAGCAAGGAGGTTCCAGGTTCAAACCCTGGTCGCACCGCATTCTATCTGGAGTTGGTCCCTGGGTGCTGTACAGTGGTTACCCACTGCTTCCTTCGGGGATGGGTTAAATGCAGAGAATGAATCTGTATGTGTATGTGACAAATAAAGTACCTTTACCTTAGTTTAAATACATAGGGGAAATTTTTATTTAGTGTATTGTTACAGGACAGTTTCAGTATTATTATGTATACTTATTTTTAGTATTTTTTAGAGATATAGTATTAGCTTTATGTCGAACTGAAAAATAATAGAAGGAAAAATTGACGCATTAAAAAAGAAACTATCAAGTCACACAGCCTGTGACATTAAATGTGTGCTATATAAATGCTTTCTTCTTCTATAATTCTCGCAGTTAAAGTGACATTCAAAGACGCATTAGTGTACGTGCATGCGAGTTTGCGCACATGCTTGCCTTTGTGTATGAGGGTAAACACGTGGATGTGTTGCGTGTCCAGTTGGTTCCCATCAACCCCCAGGGCAGCATCATGACAGGAGGGTGCAGAGCTTGAGGTGTGTTCGGACCGCCTGCGTGTGTTTGTGCGTAAATGTGGGCTCCCATGGGCAAGGCAGAGGTCAGCGAAGGTTGAAGGATAGATCTGCTTTCATGCACCTAGGCACATTGGTGTGTATGCTTCATATGTATGCGTGTCTACAGTATGTTGTTCATGCATGAGTGTATGTGACTGGAGGAGTGTCCCAGGGCAGCATGTGTGCAGCAGAGGGCAGATGTTGCTCAGAAAAAGGTCATAGAGCAGTGTACCCTTTGACAGAACTGCTGCTACCCACCTGAAGTTATTTGTGTGCATGGCTCACCATATTTTCCTGTATGTCTTGTGTGTGTGTTTGTGCACATATATGCTTGTGTGCAATATGCAAGCCTGAAATGCATATTATTGTATAAATTGCACATGCACATGGCTGCACCAACTGCTGTTAAATGGCCGAAGAGGCTCCAGAGAAATGTTTGGAGTGGTTCTGAAGTGTGAATATGTGGGTCTTCTGAGTGGTGTGAATAGGGTCAAAGCAGGTGAAAGCACTAACCTTGGCCAGTGTTAGAGAAACCCACATGAAACCTTTCTGTCGCCAGAGAAAATGTCATGCTCTTTTTTCCCTTCACTTTTTGTTTCTCTCTGTCATTGCATTTGGGCGCAAAAGATGTACCTGCTATAAAATTGTCTTGACTATCACTAATAGTGAAGACTTTATTTTCGCAGTTGTAGCTCAACTTCATCAGCAGGTGCAAAAAGGTTGTTCAGAGGCAGGATTTGGATATGATTAATACTATCACTATAACTCAGATCAATAATCATCAAACCGCTCAGAAATGAAACATGACTATTTTAGCCTTGAAGTAAAAATCACCAGCCCAGGATTATTCAGTCTTCAGAACATTTGGACAAAAGGACAAAACAAAATGTGAATGTCGAGATAGCCCTGGCAAATGTGCGAACACTTGCCAGTAGGAGTTTTATTCACAGTGGCTTCACTGTTGTTTACTCCTATCTTGTTTTTGTGCGAAAAAAGTGTGAACAATGATTTTCAGCTTCATCTGCAGCAACATCATCCTGTGAGAGCTGTTTTTGTAGCTCTGAGGTGCTTGTGTCGTGTAAAATGATATACAGTGACTCTTGTCTGTGTTCTGTTATCTATTCCCTTCCCACGCACCAAATGCTCACTTCTTGTCAGAAATCTTTCCTGTCTTTCTTTTCTGAACCATAGTTGAATTTATTGTTGCAGGTGATTTAAAATGTATGTGATTCAGGGATCATCCAGAATTTCTGCCGCCTTGTCACATCTGTGGTCACACCCTTGCTTTATATGTATTCTTTGTCTGAGTCAAATCACAGTATGGAGAGCAAAGCAAGCATTTTATGTGAGTTCTGAATGCATGAAACAAGATTTTTTCAAGGATGCTTTTTAAAACTTCCTTTGCATATGTCTGTAGCATTTTGATGCTTTACCAGTCAGCAACTTAAGAAGACCATCTAGAAAAGCACAATTTGTACATTCCTAGATTTCCTGAGGTTGCATTGAGTAACTAGTCAGAACAGCTGATCTGCTACGATGTCACAGTAATTTAGATGTATATCAAAATAAGACAAGCAATGGCAGGATGCATGAAAAGATATGCAACTATGCTTTCCAGAGACCCATAGATTATGTTGCAGAGGCTTTATGAAATTGTCCTGTCCTGGATTTACAGAAGAAGATTTATATGTATGCACTATTTATTAAGCTTTTGTGGGAAACCAGTTCACGATCATATATGTGATCTGAACATCAAGATGAAGGTTATAAGAAGATATGGGAGATTTGGTGTGTGCTGGATTTAATAAGACATTACATTACACAGAAGGGGTTTATAAATTGTGAGTGAACAATGTGCTACATCTTTGCAATTAAATGTAAGTAGTTTACATATATACAGTGGGTACGGAAAGTATTCAGACCCCTTTAAATTTTTCACTCTTTGTTTCATTGCAGCCATTTTCCAAAAATCAAAAAAGTTCATTTTATTTTTCAGTAATGTACACTCAGCACTGTTTGATTATACTGATTGGACTTGATTAGGAAAGCCACACACCTGTCTATATAAGACCTTACAGCTCACAGTGCATGTCAGAGCAAATGAGAATCATGAGGTCAAAGGAACTGCCTGAAGAGCCCAGAGACAGAATTGTGGCAAGGCACAGATCTGGCCAAGGTTACAAAAAAATTTCTGCTGCACTTAAGGTTCCTAAGAGCACAGTGGCCTCCATAATCCTCAAATGGAAGACGTTTGGGACGACCAGAACCCTTCCTAGAGCTGGCCGTCCGGCCAAACTGAGCTATCGGGGGAGAAGAGCCTTGGTGAGAGAGGTAAAGAAGAACCCAAAGGTCACTGTGGCTGAGCTCCAGAGATGCAGTCGGGAGATGGGAGAAAGTTGTAGTAAGTCAACCATCACTGCAGCAATCCCCTAGTCGGGGCTTTATGGCAGAGTGGCCCGACGGAAGCCTCTCCTCAGTGCAAGACACATGAGTTTGCTAAAAAACACCTGAAGGACTCCAAGATGGTGATAAATAAGATCCTCTGGTCTGATGAGATAGATAGAACTTTTTGGCCTTAATTCTAAGCGGTATGTGTGTAGAAAACCAGGCACTGCTCATCACCTGTCCAATACAGTCTCAACAGTGAAGCATGGTGGTGGCAGCATCATGCTGTGGGGGTGTTTTTCAGCTGCAGGGACAGGACGACTGGTTGCAATCGAGGGAAAGATGAATGCGGCCAAGTACAGGGATATCCTGGACGAAAACCTTTTCCAGAGTGCTCTGGACCTCAGACTGGGCCGAAGGTTTACCTTCCAACAAGACAATGACCCTAAGCACACCGCTAAAATAACGAAGGAGTGGCTTTACAACAACTCCGTGGCTGTTCTTGAATGGCCCGGCCAGAGCCCTGACTTAAACCCAATTGAGCATCTCTGGAGAGACCTGAAAATGGCTGTCCACCAACGTTTACCATCCAACCTGACAGAACTGGAGAGGATCTGCAAGGAGGAATGGCAGAGGATACCCAAATCCAGATGTGAAAAACTTGTTGCATCTTTCCCAAAACGACTCATGGCTGTATTAGATCAAAAGGGTGCTTCTACTAAATACTGAGCAAAGGGTCTGAATACTTATGACCATGTGATATTTCAGTTTTTCTTTTTTAATAAATTTGCAAAAATTTCTACATTTCTGTTTTTTTCTGTCAAGATGGGGTGCTGAGTGTACATTACTGAGAAATAAAATGAACTTTTTGATTTTTGGAAAATGGCTGCAATGAAACAAAGAGTGAAAATTTAAAGGGGTCTGAATACTTTCCGTACCCACTGTATATGCTTTGTATCATTCACACTAACTGATATAAAAAAAAAATTTGTGTCTCATTTGTAAACAGATTAAGGTAACAGATACAGATACAGTTAAGTTTTGCAATGTCTTGTGATGAATTTCAAACATTTTTGGCATGACTGAAACGAGATCAGACTTGTTGTGCTTAATCTCTATTCTTCCCATACCTTTTGAAGACCAGTGTACCTCAACAAATTTACGGTCTGGTTTTCCAAATCTATTGATCCGCATGCTGAAACAAACCTCTAGTTTTTCTGCAGCTTATGATGCCCTGTTTTCTAATGCAGAATTAGTTGCAGTAAGGCTGAACTTCTGAACTTTTTCTCTTCCTTCCTCCACAGATCATTGCATATCAGCCATATGGACGCTCTGTAGACTGGTGGGCATATGGAGTTCTGCTCTACGAAATGCTGGCAGGACAGGTGAGTGGTGTACACACACACATGCACACACAATTGTACTTATGTAATTGCCTGCTACAGATTATGCAGAAACCTTTACACAGACGCACGATTGCTTACAGACTGCTCACAGCCTTATTCCTACGTTCAAGTTCCCCTAGCAGCAAGGCTCATGCAGATGCCTAAATGTACTCAGGTGGTGCTTCCTAAAAACCTTCCTACCAGCACAATAATATACAATTAAAGCTACAAGCAGTTTTGGATTGGTCCTCGCGCTGTGATGCTTGTTGCGGCCGCGGTGAATTTGCCAGAGGTCGTGGACTGAATTATCTTGTGGTTTGGACGCCTCAGAAAGGAGTTAAACGTCAATTCCTGGATTACTTCCTGTTGGCAGTAGGTGGCGCTATGACATTGAGTGAATATTGGCATGTTGATGTGTTTAGGGCGGGGTACATGTAAAGTTTTGTGGAGATTTGAGCATGTACGTTGAAGTTATAACAAGTCTATGTCTGATGGCAAATCGTCAATTTTTGACGCCATGCCATGGACACGCCCTTTAACGAAAACTCAGAGCTAGCGCAACTTTTCATCATCGATGCCTTCAGTTTGCAGAGTTAAAATTCGAAGCTCCGGCCCAAATGACACATAAACGCACAAAACGTGTCTCCTCTCACTATAGGGTATATCCTATTTGGGATAACCTTTCACACTCTTGTAATGTAGTCCACTGAGCTTAATTTTTAACCAAGGTTTGACAAATATGTTTTGTGTGTGTGTGTGTGTGTGTGTGTGTATAATCTAGATACGAGTAGTGTAGCAAGACAGAGGATGTAAGTGGGAATAAGAGTGGCAACGTTAAATGTAAAAAAAATAAATAAATAAAGCGATGACTGTGCACCTTCAATGGCCATAAATTAATTTCCAGTTTACTCCAGCTGCTTTGAACTAAGGTCCTGCCCCTGAGAGGGCAGATTGGCAATAATAGTTTAGGAAAATGGGGTGGCACTGTGGATGGCGAATCAGATTCCAGTAAAACTTGCTGTCTTTTGAATTTATTTTAATTTATTTTATTACTATTTATTTACGTTTTCTACGCAACATTTCACAACTTTTATAACTTTTGAAAACTTTTTTAAAAGTACAAAAGTCTCTCACATCATAAGATTTTTTACAGGTCTTAATAAAACAACAGCACTAAATGACTTATAAAGACATTTATGACTTATTAACATCTTTTTGAAGTGAGCTCATTCTAAAAGGCCAAAAGCAAGTTCCTCCACAGCAAAGCAAAACACGAAAACGGGTATGTTTTTCATTCCCAAATTAACTCAGAGCGTCAGCTGTTAAACAATTAACTAAGGTTTTTACCTATTCAGATGTTTCCTTCCTCTCACTCTCTCCCTGCCTTGGGTGAAATCAGGTAAAGATGGCACGACACAGACAGGGTATCTCTACCTGAAAGGGCCAGTCAAGTGGAAATGACGAATAATTCATTTTATGGATTGTCAAAACACCCATATTATGGTTACTGATGATAACCACCCAATGAGGAGGGAAAAAGCTGGGTCATCCACTCCATTTACCCTACAAGGTCTTCCTGTGAAACATGTTTACATGAACTCTGTACTTTTCCTTGTCGTCTTCTCTCCACTTCTATGTTTTTGTTTAATCTGTCTTTTTTTGCCTTTTTCTCCTGACAGCCTGTTCAGTCAAATGTGTGTCCTGCTTTTCAGCCTTCTTCATCTTTATTCATTAGCAATTTTTTTCAATCTAAAGTTAGTAAATTAACCTGTCATAGTAAAGTAGAGAAAGGCAGAAATGACAAAGACAAACAAATGTACCAATGCGGGACCCCTGTGGTGCTGTACGGTGACACTTTTAGCAGTAAAAGGTTGTCAGTCGCAGGCCCGCTGTCAGGGGGGGTCAAAGGGTACAGATGAACCAGGCCCAAGGGGGGCCCATGCAAAGGGCTAGGGTGGACCCTTAAATGAAGTACACTTTACTTAATGTCTTATATCATTACCAAAAGAATTTATATGTATATACATGATAACTACATCTGTTATCATTAAAACATATTTCATACTTGTGATCTGATAACCCACCCCCTGCCGTTATTGTGAAACACTGAAGATGTGCAGGAGCCGCTAATGTAAAGCCAGTTGCTTTACATTGCAGGGAGGCCAAATTTGTGGCCAAAAAAGTCTTGAGAATCACCCTGTATGTCTGACAGGCGAAGGTGAGGAGCTAATAGTTAGGCAGACTATTAACCTAGGTTAGCGCCAGAGCTGCCAACTCTCAGGCACTTGACACTTTTCACACGCTCTGTGAAAAACAAATAAATAACTGATAATGTCAACTCTGGGTGAGTGAACTCCACCCAGCAACACCGGCATCTCGTATGGCGCTGTGAGTCGCGGTAATATAGTTTATCACTGACTTAAAATGAATTCATTTTTCATTGAGGTAAAAAGGTGCCACATTCATTTAAAGAGGTTACTTCCCCAAACAAAGACACAAAGAGGAGGGAAGACTAAATCATACATGTGTGCTGACTCAGCAGGGATGATATCACATGAGAAAATACTGGAACTTAAGGACTCAAAGGCAGACTCGGAACAGTTCGAAGCGGTAACAAAGGGTTTTACTGAAAAGTGCAACGGAAGGCTGGGTGGTAGGTTCCAACAGGGCAGAATGGAGAACACAGAGGAGGGGAGTTTGTCCAGGCAAGATGTGAGCTGAGCGGGGTGTGGCGTTCAGCAGAGTTCCCAGAGGTAGTGTGATCCTGGGCACAGAGAAAAACAGGTTAATCCAGGGAGACACAGAAATTGCAAGGAATCTTACGGGAGTAGATAGTTGGCCTTGACGCATGTACCACATGTGGTTAGCTGACGATCTGGCGAAGAATGTGAGGAGGACTGGGGTTGAAATACTGCAGGAGCTTGATTAGTGGAATGAGGACCAGGTGCGCCGCTGGAGCCGGAGAGTGTAGCCACGCCCAGACAAACACAGACAGGGAGGACAGACAGAAAACATAGGGAAGGGGGGAACAAAAGAACACAAGGTAGTGGTGAGATTCTGCAGTACCACAACAAATACACATTAACACACAATCTGTATTCAAATATTAATATATCAATCTGTTCTGTTCTGCGTGTGCACCATGAAGGGACTACAAACTTTTGTTTTGTTCTACAACCTTGTGCTGTATAATGACAAATAAACAACCTTGTAAAAGTTAAACTACAGGAGAAAATATATATCTAAAAGCAACACAGTGCCTGAGAGCTTTACTGCATTATATTCTATTATACTTTGAATTGTCACCTGCCGCCTGAATTTTGTGTTTCCCTTCATATTAATGAAGGTTAATAAGTTCCCCTGTAGCAACCTCAAGAAAATTGACCTACAGTAACACTAGTCGGCAGCAAATCACAAGTCATAGGATATAGCTGCAAATATAGCTGACCAATAATTTGATTAATTTAACCCTCAAGATTGAAGTTGATAGATGAATTAGGCCTACATTTATTTGTTTACTCACAATTTGAATTCCTTCAAAGTTTTTTCTCTCCTTGTCTTGTTTTAAGTAAACAGGAGGAACATTACAGTCACACTGACTTGACCTTTTGTGCAATATAATCATACTGAGTAACTGAATATGTATGCGAGCAAGGCCTCGATGAGTCTAAAACACTGAATTTGGAAATGGTTGTCAGGGACTCCATCTGTGTCACAATAAAGCTAATGGCCAGGAGCTTCTTTGAAATTGCACGTGTTTGTATTAGAACTAAGAGGGATGGGTGACGGTGCTGTTGAAGTGGGTGTCAATGAAGGGACTAGTTTGGAAAATGTTGTCCCCCTGTCCATAATTCCTAATGGCTGGCCTGGTCAGTAGAGCAGCAACTACTGTGCAATCCATCATGTGATAATGGATAAAACACCCAACAGTCCTCTCAATATTATGTCTTTCCACACCCAGCCTCCATTTGATGGCGAGGATGAAGATGAGCTGTTCCAGTCCATTATGGAGCACAACGTGTCCTACCCCAAGTCCCTGTCCAAAGAAGCTGTCTCCATCTGCAAAGGGGTGAGTGGTGGTTTGTTGCCATCAGTGAAAAATCTTTTGCCATTATAAACCAGTTTTTGTTTTGAAACAAAATCCATAAACATAATGATAGTTTAATCTAATTTGGTATTCATAAAGGGTTTGAAATAGGGCTGGGCGATATGGCCAAAAATGTTATCACGACAAAAACATTTCATATCATTTGATATCGATAATTATCATGTTAAATGTTTAAAAAAATGTTTTAACAGATTTTTACTCATGAGTTAAAATTGAAGAAACCAGATGGTTAATTGTGTGGTTAAACTATTCTTTATGGTCTGAATGTGACAAACTCTTACCAACTCATACCAAACAGTGGATCACTTCACCAATCTGAAGTAGAACATTCAAAACTATTATGATGAAATTTAGTTTTTTTATATATAAAAAACATGATTAGTAAATCTTTTTCAGTCCCTTTTCCTCAACAAAAAAAATATCTTAATAGAAAAAGTACCAATTCGTTTGTGATTCAAAATGAATTAAACCAAACATTTATTGAAGATATATTGAACATTTCTCATATTGTTATTGAGGAAAATTATCATTATTGTTTTATTTCCCAGCCCTTGATATGGAACCTTATTCTTCAGTCTATTGTCCTGTTTAGCTGGGACTGGTTCCCGCTATAAGCTTTTCTGACCTGGGTTGAAAATCCTGTAAACAAACATTTTAAGCTGTGTCATTCACACTCTTCACTGAAGCCAAAATAAGTGAACTTCTTGTAAGATGGCTACAAGCCTTTCCTGCTAGTTCAACTTTAGGGATATAAACTGACAGGCTGTGTCTCATACTGCCATAAGGCTTTTCGTAGCTTTCTGAAGTTAGACATAACATTTGAGAAGCCTAGCTCCATTTGCTGTAAGAGTGAAGTGTAGTCTATCTGGGAACTCATCTACAAGTTCCCTCTCTCTTCCAACTCAGTTCCAGTGTCTTTTACATGTGCATTATTAAAACATTGAAGGGAAACCTATTGAGTCATCCAATATACTCTTCACAAGCTTGACTGTCTGATAGGTGCAGTAGCTCCATGAGCTTGTTGCTGATACTTTGTAGCCGTTTTACAAAACTTGTTGTTCTGTAAGTCTAAAATATTCCAGGGGCACAGTTGAAAAAAATATATAATTTTGAAGAAATATGTCAATTTTGAATCACTACAATGTGTCATTTGTTACAGTAACCGTCCGACGTGTGTATCACAGTAAATGGTATTTAACATACTAACATAAAGTGTATTATTCACTTTGTGCTCATACAGTAGTAAAGTTATGATTCTAAATGAAAAACATGACTAAAAGCAATTATACTGGCAAAATGAAAAAAGTGGACAGTCAAAAGGAAATCCCTGCTGAGCAAGTTTTATTATCATTTAAATAATTAAACTCATTTACTTTTGTAAAAAACTAGCTTGGAAATTGAACATTGTCCTTTTCCACAACTTTTTACTTTTTCCACATCTTTAGACAACTGGCCACTCTTGCTAACATGACAATGTTGATATTCCAATAGAAATAGCTAGCAGCAATGATGCTAACCTTGACTATACAAATACACTAAGGTATTTTGCCACTGTCTTCCCTACCATGTCTCAGACCATAAATTGGCACCACAGATTAGAAAAACATTGTATATTAAATTTTGTGATGCCAGGAAAATATTCCAGAAATTATACAGATATCAGAGGTATAGTGCAAAGGTTTAATTTATACAAAACTGCATCAGTGTAGGACTTAATACATGAAATTGTTAATAAGCCACAGAGGAATATCAAAAGACATCTGCACATACCTGTGAATCACTTATATCTGTAGGCTATTTGTTCTACTGAAAAATAATGCTTTTTCCACCCCAATCCTTTAATTTGCCTCCTCTGTTAACCCGGACTGGTAGCAGACCTGCATTCTGAGTCGCGAGATGAGATTGTTAATCATTAGAGATAGGCCTTCCTTGTAAAAACAAAGGAGTGATTATACTCAGTAGGCTCCTGGGATGCTGTTTCCGCCACCATGGGTATATGGCTGCTAGATCTTCAGAGACAGGGGGAACTAAACAGTACAATGGGTCAGTGCAAGTCAGGCAAGCAAATACTGGGATTTTTGGAAGTTTGTCTCATTTCATCTCAGCAACAGAATTTTTTGAAAACAAATGAAAGAGGAAGAAACATTATAAAATGTGTTTTAGATTTTTAGGACACCCCCTAACAGGTTCAATGAAGCCCAATGAAATTTGCAGTGTGCCCCACTTTATTGCTTCATGGAGTAAACAACAAGACAAACATCACATGTAGAAATTGTGCATAAACTCACTAATTTGTACTTAAACCTCTGTTTTTATGTCTTTCATTGGCACTTTGTATGGGCATTACATGCCTATACATGCTCACCCTCTGGAGAGCTGATGTACATTAAAAATGGATGAATTTTGGCATCTGTCACAGTTGACAGATGACGTGACGTTCACCTAAGGTCTATTTGATCATTGAAAGATGAGAATTATTTTAGACACATTCTTCGTGGTCCATGTTAAAGCAGCTGATACTCGGGTTGAATTCCTGGCAGCAGTGCTTTCAGCTTAGCCGCTCAAAGATAAGGCTGTATGACAGAAAGATTATAAGGATTAACCTTGCTTTTCTTCAAATGTACAGAAATACTCACAAGGGAAAGTGCACATTTGTGTACGTGTGCACACAAGGAATCTAATAGTAAATGTGGCAGTTTTATTTCTGTCCAGAGGCAGTGCAAATTCAATGAGCTGTGCAGTAACACACTTTGTCTCCTTGTCCCTTCCTCAACTCCATTTGTCCCCCCATTTCCTTTTCCTGTCCTTTTCTCGCTCCTAAATTTTTTTCAGCGGTGTGGGTGTCCTCCTGCTTTTCTGTGTGTCTTGGTTTCGGCCAAAGTCCCTGTGTCAACCCTTGTATGCCATGGTTGCAGCACTTCCTCTTAATGGATACATAGTGCTTGCCAGCAGCCTGACCCACAAAATAGGGAGAAAGGAAGCGATGGGAGGGAGGAGAAAAAAAAACAAGACAAACAAGAGAAAGAGTGGTTGGAGGGAGATAAAGAGATGTAGGGAAAAGGGAGGGAGAGAGCAAAATGGGCAGAGAGCAGGAAAAGGAAAAGTGATTTTGTGTAGAATACAGTATATCTATTGTATGCAAACTTAAGTGTGCTGGTAGACTTTTATTATGCATATAGATACTCTATTCTTAGCAAGCCCATGTATACTGTACAGTTCATTAAATTTTAAATAGGTCAAAGATGTAGATACACATTCATCAAAGTAATGGGATGTTACCTAGAGGTCGGCAGAATGTGAGTAAGACAGATATACATACAGACTGTGTTTTTTAGTGTAAGTTGTGGTGTAGAGGAAAATACCGGTGAAGATTTCACCCTCAGGTTCTCCAGAGCTCTGTGGCAAAAGCATCCAGGTAAAAAACATGGGATAGCTCGTGTCTCGGTGTCTGAATACTGCATGATATCCTCAACTAAATCCCGATGGGGCAGTACGTTTTCTGTTGTATTGTCAGAAGAGAATGTAAAATGTAATCCCATTTGTTATTTACACAAGTATGGTTGGTCTTAGATCGGATGTTTTGCCACTGTCGATCTCCCTGATCTCCTGCAGCAAACTATTTGGGTTCTAAAGGATGAGGATGATGGCGTGTGTGTGTTTTGAAAGCTTTGATGTATTGAATCACACAGTTTTACCTGGCCAGACTCCTCGCTGACTAAGAGATCTGCTTTCTTATACTTCACCACTCTCATTCTCTTTTTCCCTCTGTCTCCCTGACTCTCGCTCTCCCCTCCCTCCTGTCCTGTCAAATCTAACGATTTGATATTCTCAGCAGAAACAGCAGGGTTACTTTGAAGTTATGT